TTCAGGTGTTTGTGATTGAAAGAGAAGGGGCAACGTTGCCCCCGTTGATTGGCATTCACATTTAGTGGGTGTGTGTGGGGAGAGAAAGACACGATTTGGAATCGTTCAAAAGTGGTTGGTGGGCGTTTGAGTGAGAGAAAGAGAGAAGGGGGAGATGATTGGGCGTTTCAGTTACTGGTTGCTTTGGATTGGTTGAGCTTTGGTGTGAGCGGCTTTTGGACTGGGCTTTGCAGGGTTAGGCAGTGCCAGCCGCTGATGCGGCGGCAGCAGCTGCAGCGGCCGCGGCCGCCGCCGCCGCGGCCACCTTCGCCGACTTTTGACTGCTCATGACCTTGGCGACGTCGGAGTGCTTCAGCTTCTTGTGCTCCTTCAGGTAGTCCTTGCGACTGTACGACTTCAGGCAGATATCACACTCGTAGCGCTCCCGGTCGGCGTAGTGCCTGGTCATGTGGCGCCGGAGGCTGCTGTACGCCGTGAAGGTCAGGTGGCACAGGTGGCAGACGCACATTTTGGCTAAGAGGGGGGAGGGAAAAGGAAGAAAAAAGTTTAGAATAAAAGATGATAAATTAGATAAACACCTCATGGAGTCACACTTACTGGAGCCATTGGGCAGCTGTGAGCCGGGCGAGATGCCCGCCAGTGAGTTCTCGAGAATGGGCGCCACAAAAGAGTTCGAGTAGTTGCTGTTGTTGTCGTCCATGTTCGAGTCGGAGGGCGACTCGTCCAGCGAGACGATCGGCTTCACGTCGGCTGAAAGAAAGGGGGGGGGAAATAAAATAAAAAGGGTTAGTCAAAGTCTACAAACTAATTCCAATCAACTAAAAAGCAGCACTCACTGTAGAAGTCATCATCGGAGTCGCCCATCATCATGGAGCCGCCATCGCCGCCGGCGTCACTCGCCGAGGCCAACTGTCGGTGGTACCAGTCGGCGGCGGCGGAGGAGGAGCCGTTCAGGCCGCCATCGTCGCTCTCATCACCTCCCTCCTCACCTCCGTTCATACTGTTGTGATGGGAGTTGTGGTGGTGGGGCAGGGGAACGATGTTGTTGCGGCGGCGGTAGGGGTGGTGGTGACCGTTCATCATCGGTCGACCACCGCCACCTGCTTCCTCCTCATCCTCCTCCTCGTCTTCGTCCTCATCTTCGTCTTCATCCTCATCATCGGCATCGCCCACCTGACCACCACCTCGGCTGCCATTGCCNATGGTGGTGACCGTTCATCATCGGTCGACCACCGCCACCTGCTTCCTCCTCATCCTCCTCTTCTTCATCCTCGTCCTCATCCTCGTCCTCATCATCGGCATCGCCCACCTGACCACCACCTCGGCTGCCATTGCCATTGACGGCAGCAGCTCGATTAGCCATCGACATGGCCATCATGGCCATCATCTCCGACTGCTCCAGCTGGCTCGGCTTGTCGCCGCCCAGGTTATCTCCTTCCCCAGGAGCACCTCCTCCTCCTCCTCCTCCGCTGGTGTTGAGCAGATGACTGGAGGAGTTGTTGCTGGAGTTGTGGTACGACGAGCCGGGCGACTTGCTCGGGTCGTCCTGGTTCACCGTGCTGTTGTCGTCTCGGTCGGAGGAGGAGTTTCCGCCGCCATTGTTTCCACCTCCTTTAAGGCGCTTCGCCGAGTTCACCTCATCGCCCGACTCGTTGTTGTCCTCTCCGTCCTCCACCAGGTGATTGGCGCCGCTGCTGTTGCTGTTGTTGGTCATCAGCAGACTCTTCTTCGTCGGCGAGAGGCCATTCTGAGCAGGATTGCCGCCATTTTTGCTGCCGTTCAGTCCGCTGGGGGCTCCTCCTCCGTTAGAGGCAGCTGCGGCTGCTGCTGCGGCCGCCGCCGCCGCCGCCGCCGCCATGCCCGCAAAGTTTCCATTGGCGGCGAGCATGTTGGCGAGGGCCAGCGCCGAGCCGCCGTTTTTGCCGTTTCCGCCTCCCAAATTTCCGCCGCCATGCTTTCGCTTCTTCTTCCGCTGAAACCGCTGGTTCATAAAGGCCAGGTACTGACTGGACACGTCGCCAGCATTGCCGCCGCTGTTGTTCAGGCTGTTGTGGTTGATTGCGCCTCTTGGACTGGGCAGCGGCGAGGAGGAGGCAATTCCTGCGGTGGTTGAATTGAAAGGCGAACGGCCGTCTCCGACACCTGCGTCGATGCTTCCATCTAGGTCCATTCGATTTGCATTTGCCGAAGAAGAGTAGGCAGAAGCATTGGCCGCCGTCGCATCACCATTCATCTCCTTGACGGTTGAAGTGGGCGTGCTGGCACTGTTTCCATTTCCACCGCCGCCGGCAAAGAAGTTGCCCCCGTGCTTCTCATTCACATCCGNAGAGTAGGCAGAAGCATTGGCCGCCGTCGCATCGCCATTCATCTCCTTGACCGTCGAAGTGGGCGTGCTGGCACTGTTTCCATTACCACCGCCGCCACCGGCAAAGAAGTTCCCGCCGTGCTTCTCATTCACATCCGTCAGGCCCTTCACCTTCAGCGCCTCGGCGGTCTTCAGCAGCGGCCCCAGCTGCGTGTAGCTGACGTTGACCTCGCCGCTGTACATGAAGTGAATGATGGCCCGGAGGTCCTCGTAGCGCATGTCCTTCAGTATCACAATCGGGTGCTTGCAGGGATTGTTGAGGAACAGATCACGAAAGTAGGTGCTGCAGGCGCTCAGCACCAGCTTGTGCGCCTTCAGGCTGAGGCCGTCGCAGGCGAGCGTCACGTCGACGAAGCTCTCGTCGCCCAGCAGCTCATTGAAGACCTTCACCATGTTGTTGGTGTGGTTGTTCCACTTCAGGCAGTACTGCTGCTGGGCCTGCTGGGCCGCGGCTGCGGCGGCTGCTGCGGCCTGACTTAGTTGTTGAGAGTTGCTGTTGGGGCCGCCCGCTTGGTGGGCGGAGGCCACTGCGGCAGCCATGGCCGCCTGTTGATGCTGGTGGTGGCCGCCACCCCCGCTGTTGTGGTAGCTCATCTGCTGAACATTGTAGTGGTGGTGGTGGTAATTGGATGATGATCCACGATGTGGAGTGGATGATTGTCGTGGTTGTGGAATCGGTGATGGAAGTGGTGGTGGTGGTGGTGGTGGTGGTGGTGGCAAAAGTGGCGAGCCGGCGGATGATGATGAAGCCAGCGTTTGGAGGTGATGTTGAAGTTGTTGTTGAAGTTGAAGTGTTCGGTTGTGGTGGTGATTAGATGATGATAATGATGGTGATGGTAATGAGTTGTTATTGTTGGCCGGGTTGGTCGAGTTGGTCGAGTTTTGCAGGTGGTGCAGCAGCGAGGAGGAGACATGGTAGAGAGAATTGTACATTAGCATCTTTGTAGTGGATAATAAGGTGGTGGTGGTGGTGGTGGTAATGGTGAGAAGAGTTTGGGTAAGAAAGGAGTGGAGAAGGTGGGAAAGGATAGCAAGCAAAAGAAGAAGAAGAAGAAAGGGAGCAGTTGTTTGCTGCGAGTTGCGGCAGCGGCGGCGTCGGCACGACCAACCGCGCGCGGAAGTAATCGACAACGAAGAAGACGACGGTGAAGGAAACTAACAAACTACTGCTGCTGCTGCTTAGATAGAAAGGGGCTCGCTCATGGCAGTGGAGAGGGGGCAAAGATGAAGATGAAAAAGTCAAAGCTGAAGAAGAGGACAACACAACACACAACACACACACACAGACACACACCGTAGAAGAAGTCCGCAGACAGGTCAAGCTCGTGGTCACGACTTTCCGGTTATTGTCGAGCACAAGCAAGAGAGGCAGTGAAAGTGAAAGTGAAAGACAGTCACTGTGAGTGTGTGAGTGCGCGGACGACAATTGAGATCACAGACTGAGTGAGAATGACTGACTGAATGCGCCGTTAGACGACCACTGAGCCGATGGGAGCGAAGAAGAAAACGAAGAAGAAGAAGAAGACTNTGTCGAGCACAAGCAAGAGAGGCAGTGAAAGTGAAAGTGAAAGACAGTCACTGTGAGTGTGAGTGCGCGGACGACAATTGAGATCACAGACTGAGACTGAGTGAGTGAGAGTGACTGACTGAATGCGCCGTTAGACGACCACTGAGCCGATGGGAGCAAAGAAGAAAACGAAGAAGAAGACTCTGAGGAGCTTGGACTCAACGCAAAAGCTGCTGCTGTCCGCTGGGAGAGCTGCTGACCAGCACAGGACAGGCGAAATTGGTGAGCAAACTGGCGCAACAGCAAAAACGCAGGAGATTGAAGAGCACACGAGCAGGCACACGAGCATGAGACGTCCACGTCCACGACGAAGAAGTAGTGTCTGTGTGTGAGTGTGTGTGTGTGAGTGTGTCTTCTCACTCCGAGGACACTGGCTGAGCTCAGTGTGAGTGTGTGCCAGAAGCACCGCAATCAGGAGTTGGAGTCAATGTGAGTGTCTCTCTCTCTCTCTCTCAACTCTTCCTCTCCCTCTGCTGCTGATCAGGCGCCCATCTACAGCATAGCCAGGCCAGCCAGCTAGCTCCACTTCAATCTCATCCATTTCTCAATCAGTGCAGGCAGATCAGTGCGGCGCCAGCAGCAGCAGCAGCAGCCAGTTTTCTTATCGATTCTGCCTTGAAGCACGAGCCACTCTCTCTCCTCTATCTCCCACTGCGAGAGAACACTGCTGTCGCTGAAGAGTGATTTCCCCCAGGTAGAGTGCCCGCCCCCGCCCAAGAGCGCGCGCACACACACATACACAACCACAATCACAGAGCAGGCATCTCAACCCGAACAACGGCAGTGGCGCACTGGCAGAGAGATTGCGGTAGCGGTGAATGAGAGAAAAGGGGAAAGAAAGGAATGATATGGACGAAATAGCGCAAAGATGACCAAATTCGAGAATGGCTTTGCAGCAGAAAAAGGAACCAGACATTGGCCCTGGTATTTCGAAAATCCCAAATTACATTCTCTATCAATTCCCTTTCCGGCAGCTCAGCAAACACAGCATTTTCCTCCTCCAGGATTCTACCTCTGCCACCACCACCACCACCACACCAAATCACTGCTGACTGCTTGTACTGCCCAGCAGTGGTTAATCAAAGAGATCGCCCAGTGATAGCTGCTGCTGCTGCTGCTGCTCGAGGCGCACTACGGCAGTTAGCAGCAGCACAGCTACGCCAACACGTCTCTCTGTCTATCTCCCTCGCTCGTTTGCTCATTTCGCCCGTCTGGCTCTCTTTCAAGTACCGGAGTGGGAGCCGCTGCCGCCATCACCACCACCACAAATCACAGCTACACAAGAAAGGCTTTTTTGCCTCTTACTTCAGGTGCAACAGATGGTGATGGTGGTGAGGAGGAGGAAGAGGAGGAGAGAAACCAGATTACAGAGGACAGTGGCGCGGGCAGTGTAAAAACAGTGCACATCCACATTTAAATTGAGCGGGGATAGAGGGAGACATTTAAGACTAGTCAAAGAGATCTCTGTCAGACTGTTTGCGTGCACTTTTGCACTGCCTAAAGGCAACTCACTTCTACCACTTTTTAAAAAGTGAACGGTGCCAGCAGCAGTGGCATCCGTGAAAAAAGGACAGGACGGCTGCTGCTGCAGTGATACCAAAAGGTAGCAAGTTCCTAGGTAGTAATCAGTCCAGTCCAGTGTGTGGCAGTTCAGATTAGGAGCAACTTGCACACACATGCACGCACACACATCCTGTTACACTTTTGGGATGAAAAACAACTCGATTAAAAAAGGTGGAAAGATGCCAGGCCAGTGTGGGTGCCCCGGCAACAGCAGCATGTAAAGTACCTGTTAGTGTGCTAAAAAGGCATGAAATTCTATTCTAATTAAAATGAACACCAGCCAGCATAGCAACCAAGCAATCAACCGAATTTGATCTGCCTCATAGAAGCTTAAGAATTTCGCCAGCACCAGTTCAAGTGAGTGAGGCAGTCAGTGCAAGTGGGCCAACCGAGCCATTCACAGCAGCAGCAGCAGCAGCAGCAGCAGCAGCAGCAGCACTGCACAGTCCCCTCATTGCAACCCGAACCCGGAACGAAAACTACGAAGCTCTGCAGACTACTACTACTCTAGTGCTACTGCCAGTACAGCTTTGCGGAAGGAGAGAAATAGAGGGGGAAACCGAAGTAAGAAGGCGCCGCACAGTTGTGCTTTGCGGTAACAGCAGAGAAAAAAAGAAAGAAGGCGAGAGAGGCACCTCTGCAAAAGAAACCAGCTTGAAAGGTAAGACTTGTTTTCAGGCAACAGACAGACAGAAAAACAGACAAACACACAGCTGAGCTGACACCACAGCACACACCGGCAAGCAGCAGCCATCATCGCCGACGACTAATCTCGTATCGCAGCAGCAGCAGGAGCAACAACAGCAGCCATTTCATTTCTGCTTCGTTCAGGTCAGACAGACAGACAGGTAAAACCGAAAGTGATCAACAGAGACAGAGACACTCAGTGAGTGAGTGAGTGAGTGAGTGAGTGAGTGAGATCACACAGTCGTGATCCACCGCGAGGAGCCGATCATTCCTGGAGATTACTGCTGCCATCGCCGCCGCCGATGATAGCAGTGCAGATACTGCGGCCATGTCCGTTAGGCACTCACACTGGCACAAACAACAACAACAACATCGGCAACAGGTTGTCCTCCACCACCACCACTACTTCTACCACAAAGATGAATCTGAACGGGAGAAGGAGAGAGGGGGAAGCTACGGGCACCTTCTTCTTCTTCTTCCATCTCTCAGACAGAAAGAAAGACACTGACCACACTCAGGTCAGCATTGAAGAGGTGAATCACGATTGCTGCTGCTGCTGCTGCAGACGTATTAGCAAATCACTGCCGTGCACTCTCCTGCCTGTTGTACGACAGAAAAAAAGGAGGAGGAGAAGAAGAGCCGAAGGCTTCGCTGAAAGAGAAAGCAGCCAGTGAACTCGAGGATGACGAGAGAACGTACACTGCCACCACCACCATCATCATGTCCTAATGGCTTGACAGAAAGAAGGAGAAGTAGCAGTAGTTGTAGTAGTTGTGAGGCACCAGTGTGAAGCAATACGGCAGAAGAAGAAGTAGGAACACCGAAGGAAAACAAAAATGGACAGTAAAGTAAGGAGAGAGAAAAGAAAGAAAGAAAGAAAAAACGAAGCAACATCAACGGTGGCAGCAGCAGGGATGCAGGCAAACCCGAAAAACCTGATGATGCGTACAGTGCAACAGCAGCAGCAGCAGCAACTGCCCAGATCTGAAGATCGTCGTCCAGCGCTGCCGCTGCCACTGCCGTCTGAAAACTGAATTGAGGTCAGCGAAGGAAACGTTAAGGCTCTCACTGTAAGTCTGCTGTTGCTGTGTTGTTGGGCTAGCAATCTCGGCTAGCAAACAAACAAATAAACAGCAACAGCAGCTTAGAAAGCAACAGTGGAGAGAGAGAGAGAGAAGACCGTGCCAAAAGGGCTGTGGACTGTGCTCTGGTGTGGCGAAACTCAAGAAAGAGAGAAAGTGATCACAGCATGGAGCAAGGAGATCATGGCACCACCACCACCACCATCATCATCACGACTGCTGGTGATCAGACTCGAAGCAGCAACTTCGAGCTTCCAAAGCCGCCGATTCACTTCCACGTCCATCGACAATGGACGTGGAAGAAAAGGGAAAGGCAATTGCCGGTGGTGGTGGTGGTGGTGGTG